GGACGGTCGGGACAGCAGGTAGGGACGGTCGGGACAGCAGGTAGGGACGGTTTGGGCGACAGTCGGGGCGGTGGGTATGGACGGTTGGGACAACCTGTAGGGACAGTATGGACGGTTGGGACAGAGTGGCGGTCGGGACAGTTGGTTGGGTCGGTCTGTAGGGAAGGTGGAGACAGCGGGTAGAGACAGTCGGGACACTTTGTCCTGGGGTAAAAAATAACATTTAAACTGAAGAAACTGATGTTTAAATAGGAACACCTTACATTTAGAACATCTTTGAGTAAAAGAAAACATTTTTAAGATTACTCTATTTTCATGAATGGCTGATGTTTGTAATGAACTGGTTTGTGACTGGCTGAGTAAACATTCACTCACAACGGGTCTTAATCAATCAGTTCAAATCTTTGTCTTGTTTTCTGCTTTTCGTTGAACTGTAACAAAGTAGGATCTATTTAAAAACTGTCCCGACACCGACACCACGCTGCTGGAGACCCAGGACGTATTGCTGGACCCGCTGGAGGGAAGGGAGGCACGGGAGAACCAGAACCAGGACTGAGAGGAGCAGACTGTCAGACCCTGCTGCAGTAGAATTAGAGGTTTTCTAAAGAGACTCTGGTGCTCAGAGACACTACCACTTTAGTCCACAGAACCAACACAACATGACACTTCCTGGTAGTAACTTAGAGTAAATAAAGGATCTGACTCCTTGTAAAGTTGTTTCTCCTACTAATCTTTTAAATAGTCGTCTTTAAAAGCAGAAAGACGAACGATGAACCTCTTGAATGCATAAACACAGTAGAATCTTTGGTCTGACATTCACGACCACCACCAGGATATATCTGTGATTACTCTTCAGATAAACTACGTTCATTGAAGCAACAGGTACAAATACTCACCTCTCACCAAAAGCTTCAACAAAGGTGTTCGGATGTCACGTGATTACCTGTAATCAAACCGCTCGTGGATGAAAACGTCTCGAACAACACGAGCCGAGTTTAACTTTCACTTTGAGGCGAAAACGAAAGTAGAGTGAAGCAGCAGTACTGCGTTTTATACTTTCATTATACACGAAATCCTTCTATGGAGAAACATGAGGTATTTTTATTTATATCCTCAGCATGAACTCATTAGCCATAGTTATATAAACAAATAGTGAATATTTAATTAAATGTATTCATTAGTTTATGGCACCGACTGTGGTGGAAAAGTACTAGAATTATACTGTACTGAAGTATAATCCTAGATATTTAAAAAAAAAATTTATGCTCGTTTATATACACACATATAATCCCAACACATAATATATTTAGTACACTTTAATCTACTCCTGTTTGTACCAGCACAATACTGCGTTTGGTGGAGTTTGATGTATGAACACAAGGTGGCAGCAGTGAGCTGTGATTCACAACACCACCAAACATAATGTGTTCTTCTTCTCCTGTCAATGTGATAGTTAATCAAGATAATAATAACCCTATTAATACATTAAATACAAGTATTCACAACAATAATAATGATAATAAGAAAAAATAATATTATCATAAATAATAATAATTACATTGATAGTACGTATTATTATAATATTATTAATAATAGTGCATTATTGTATTATTAAAAATAATAATAATTATGATGATGAACAATAACAATAACACAAAAGCAACAAGGTAAATAAATAAAGTAAAACAATTCAACTAAAATAGAAAAAGTAAAATTACAACAACAAAGATTAAATACAAGAGTAAAAATATAAAGTGTATAAGAAGAGATATGAACAGCAGAGCCTAATGGAAACTAAAATATAACATAAGAGAGATATTGTCAGTGATATTGTATAAGTAGTAGAAAACATCCTCAACAACAACATCCTCTGTCATTGGATCGTCACAAGAGAAATGAAAAAAACTCCCCAAAAAACCTTTTAACGGGTTAAAGTGGTAGAAACCTCAGAAAGAGAACCAGAGGAGGACTCCTCTAACAGGATGGACAGATGTGCAACAGATGTCATGTTTACAGAGTAAACAACATAATAAAAGTACAACATGATGCATATATTTTACTGCAAGCATCCCCAGTGAGAGCAGCACAGCTCTGGTCCAGCTGCCCCAGATGTTCGGATCAATGCACCCGACACACGAGAGGAGCGGAGGAGCCTCCAACATCTCGTTCACGCGTCTGTTTCATTTCTTCTGCTGAGATCAGAACAGAAGTGAGAGCTGGAGTCTGAGGCAGCAGATGGTCGTAGGAGTCACGTGTAGAAAAGAGATGAAAATCAGAGGTGGAAGGACAGAAGGGTGAAGTGGAGTTCACGCTGAATGCGACAAAATGCGTTCTGCATTTGAATAAAAAAATTCTCCACTGGGTCAAACAGAAGGATGAGGATCCATCATCTGCTGCAGCAGCATGGAAGAAATATTATTATTATATTAACAGATTATTTACTCAAGTAAAAGTAGTAAATACTCCACTACAAGTAAAAGTCCTGCATTCGTTTTATTTTTGTTTTTTAATTTATTTTTTATTATTCATTTATATTAAAAGTACTCATTAATGGCCCCTCTACTTTTTATAATTTTGTGTTAATATTAATTTATTATTATTTTCTAATTATTTGTACTGATGTGTCAGCAGCTATTTAATGTAACAGCTGCTTAAGTTGGAGCTAAATTTAATTTATTTATATTCTATTGGCAAGTTTAATCAGCAGCAGTGTATCATATGTTCATCTCTAATTTCATACGTAAAATCTGTAAAGTAATCAAAGCGGTCAGACAAACGTAATATCTATGAAGTAGCTTTAAATGGCACTTAAGTGCAGTTCTTGAGCTGCAGATAAAAGAACAGGTTTAAAAAGGCATATTTTCTACTCGCTTTTTTATGTTTTTTATATTTTTTGAAAATGTTCACGTTGCGATAGTCGCGTGTACCCGATAGTCACGTGTTAACGATAGTCACGTGTTCACGATAGTCACGTGTTAACGATAGTCGCGTGTACCCGATAGTCACGTGTTAACGATAGTCACGTGTTCACGATAGTCGCGTGTTCACAACAGTCGCGTGTTCATGATAGTTGCGTGTTTACGTTACGATAGTCGCGTGTTCACGTGACGATAGTCAGGTGTTCACGTGTTCACCTTACGATAGTCATGTGTTCACGTTATTATAGTCGTGTGTTCACGTTACAATAGTTGCGTGTTCATGTTATGATAGTTATGTGTTCACGTGTTCATAGTAGCGTGTTTACATGACGATCGTCGCGTGTTCACGTGTTCATAGCCGTGTGTTCATGTGCTGCTGTGTTATACTGTACAGTAGCGTGTGGCTGTGGTTTCCTCCCCAACATGAAATGCGTCTGTTTGGAAACAGCAGCTTGAAAAAAGGGTGGAGGACCTCACTCAGCCACTCATTCTGCATCTGTGTGTGTGTGTGTGTGTGTGTGTGTGTGTGCGTGTTATTCTGGGTCAGCCATTTCCCTGGAATGTTCCGCCTCCTGCCAAAAAGAAGTCACTACAATGGTATGCACACACATAACACCATGGAAACACACAGGGATGACTTAAAAAGGCCTGAAAAGTGAAGGAGGACATAACCCCCCCGGTTTTATACATGAATATTTAAAAATAATAATAAGAGAAAAACCATCTCTCTACATGAGCTTTGTTTAGAGAAAGCTTTTGTTTATCTTCGCCTCCATCACAAGAAATACAGGAGCGAGATGAACCACATTCTTTAGTGTGAGTCCCCCCTCTCTATTTCCTCCTGGAGGTCAGGTTGTTGCAGCACTGTCTCAGAGTCAAAGGAGGGTCAGCAGTGTGTGTGAGTGTGTGTGTGAGAGAGTGTGTGTGTGTGATTGTGTGTGATGGTGTGTGTGTGTGTGTGTGTGCAGTTATAATGTGGTGGAGGAGTCAGTCACTCTGTCCTGTGACATTGTGAAACGACTGCAGTAGTAGATTGGAAAGTGTGTGTGTGTGTGTCTGTGTGTGTGTGTGTGTGTGTGATTGTACTATGCGGCAGGTCGTGGGGGAGGAAGCAGCAGTGTTGAGTGTGGTGGTGGTGGTGGTGGTGGTGGTGGTGGAGGTGAGGGGGGGGGGGGGGGGGGG